GAAGACTGTCCCTGAGCTAACATCTGTGCCAATGTTTCTTTATTTTTTTTGTATGTGGGATGCCACCACAGCATGGCTTGGTGAGTGGTGCATAGGTCCACACCCGGGATCCAAACCCACAAACCCCAGGCTGCTAAAGTGGAGTGTGTGGACTTAACCAGCACACCACCAGGCCAGCCCCAGGAAAATATTCTTATAGCATTGCGAAATCTCTTGGGTGATTTGGGCAAAAGGTTAACAAAACACTTGTCCATTCTGCATGAGGATCTGGTCTTGGGTTAACTGTCTAATTCTGCTTCCCTAAAAACAGAGAAACCAGAATGTGTCAACTATGCTAGTAAGTCTCATTATCGATGGCAAAATGGACCCAATTGCTGAATTGCTCCTGGCCAGACTGAGAGAACACCATATTTTGAGTTTCTCTGGAGACAGCATTTCTTTAAGGGGCATGTCCTTTGGAAGACTGTGGAGGCTCTGCCTGGAGAATCCTTACATCAGACATCGTAGCCATGTGTGGAGCAGCTAACTTCTTAAGACATGAGAGCTCCCACACTTGCCTGATGTGGGTCTCATCTAGCACTGAAGCTCTGGACCTGTGGAAAAGAGAGCTCCTGGAAGACCGTGTGAACTCTCATGGGCAGGAATCAGTGCAGCGAGGCCACGGGTGCTTGAGCATTAAATATAGTAACAATTATGGACTTAAAAATATACACAGTCCTGTGCCACTCAGCAACGGGAACACGTTCTGAGAAATGCATCGTTAGGTGATTCTGACGATGTGCAAACATCATAGGGTGCACTCACACAAACCTAGGGGGTACAGCCTACCACTCAGCTGGGCTCTACGGTGCTATATACATGGTACCGTCGTATATGTGGACAGTTGTTGAACGAAACGCCATTACGTGGCGCATGACTGCATTAGATTAAGAATAAGTAAGGGTTGTAAGGGAGAGAGCATACTATGCGTGGCTTTATATTTTAAAATATAATTACAGTAAAACTGTAAATTAGAGGAGTTTGGGCATATTAAAAAACAACTGTTTTCAGTAATCGTCTTGGTAGTAATGTAAGTAAAGTTATTAACATCCTGAGAATGTTTTGTGTGTCATAAAGGATAAAGGAAATTAAGGAGTGTGTGATATTTTAATTTTATCACCAGCAGAGTCTTGGAGAACTGATGCTAAACAAAAGAGATACAGATCAAAGATAGAAAAGTTCAATTAAACACCATTTAGTCCTAAATTTGGCCAAGAAAAGTTCAATTAAACACTGTTTAGTTCTAAAACCAGCTAGGAAGTTGACAGGTGAACTCATCAGGTATTTTATTTTTATTTAAATATGAAAACACACACATATGTATCTGTTTTAAATCTATCTATCTATCTTTCCTATCTTTATCCAGTAAAAAGCCTAGAAATAATCTCCAAACCAGAAAACATAGGCACCTCTAATGTGCAGTTTATGGTCACAGAATACCATTTCCCGCTAAATGAAATCAAAAGTTCTCAGACATGGCTGATTAAAAGCTTGGGACAGGAAATGTACAAGACAACCCCAGAACATCTTGTCATAACAGACATAAACAAGTTACTCAAGACTAAGAGGGATCTGAAGGACTCGAGAGGCAACATTATGAGGCCCAGTGACCTGGGATGCAAAAATTTGAGGAATAAAAAGGCTAATAAGTGCAATGGGCTAAAATACAAATTAACATGCATAAACTCATAAATTTATAATGACAATAGAATAACTCTCTGGTCACCTGGGAAGGAATGCTACGGTAACAACTGTTTAACTGTGGAAAAGACAAATAAAGGGAAAGAATCAAGCATTTATTTAACCTTTATTATACAAACTATATCAGTAGGTTACCAAGCAGTAGATGATGTAAAAATTGGTTATAGAAAATTTCTAACTAATAAGTGAAAATGAATATTAGAATTAAAACATGATTATTTTGGAATGTCTTAACAAATTAACACATCTAGGCACTGAACATCAATGCTTGCTAAAATTACGAAAAGGGAGACAAGTAGACAGTATATGCTAAGAACCTAAACCATCGTCTTCCCCACTCAGCCTGGTCACAGAGAACCGGAACTACCAGTCCCCACATGGACCTTCCTGTCTCTACTGTCATGTAACTATCCACTGTCTTCATCACAGCAAGTTCCTGTAGGATCCAGCTCTTCGATAGAAAACATCAACAGTTTGTGCTCTAGGATTCTTTGAATCCCAAGCCTCAGGATTCTCATCTAGTGATTTCCACTAATTTTCCACTGTTCTATCTTGATCTTCACCCAACCCTAATCAAGTCTCCACACTGAAAGACTGGCCTTAAACTGAACTTGCAGCTGTCAATAGGATGCAGCCTTGCCTCTCCCGCTCTGAGACGCTACCAAAGTGCTTCAGAGGCGGTGTCCTCCTTTAACGTAGCAAGCAATGAGCTCAGTTCTCTGATATGTGGGGAGCACGCATTTGATAACGCCAACATATTATGGACACAACACCACCCGGGAAGCGGTATTGCCAAAAAATAAAAATCCATCTAAATCAATTAAGCTTCTTGATCCCATTACTTATTTAGAGGATACTGTAGGGGAGCAGAATGTGCCTCCTCAAGATGTGTCTCTGGCATGAGGATTATTTTGGGCTGGTTACTTTTAAGAAACTGCAGACAGGGGAGAAGCTCTGAAAACCAAGTAGAAATTACCCTTTGTAAGAGATATTTACATTTCTAAGAGAAATCTCCATCTGTAAAGGTGTCTCCCTCTCTGTATCAGGAAGAAGGGGGGGATGACCTTATTGCTACAAACTCATCAATGTGGCAGGCAAGGACTTAAATCTGCATAATCACTTTACTCTTGTTTACTGTGCTTTTTCTGGTAATCTCCTATAACTGACTCCCCCCACCCCCAACATCCTCCTTTGTCTTTAGCTGAAGATGGTATTTAGGGTGGCAACCCCGAGCTACTCAGCTTTCCTGGGTTTCTCCCATGTATACATGTTATAAAGCTTTATCTGATTTTTCTCCTGTTATTCTGTCTCATGTCAATTTAATTCATAGACCAGCCAGAAGGGCCTAGAGGGTAGAGGAATTGTCTTCCTCTCCTGCAACACAGAGAGGTCACAGAACAAGTTTAAGTAAATCCCAGGATGGCATCAGCAAAATACACATCGGAAGATATTTTCTTCAGCAAGTACATGGTTAGGAACAAAAAAAAGGAGATGAAGGAAAACTTAGAGATTAAAGAAGACTTAAAAGAATATAAAGAAATTGGAGGGAGGAAGAAAAGGAAGGAACTTATTCCCATTAACATCAGAACAGTGAGGGGCTGGCCCCATGGCCGAGTGGTTAAGTTCGTGCGCTCTGCTGCAGGCGGCCCAGTGTTTTGTTGGTTCAAATCCTGGGCGCGGACATGGCACTGCTCATCAAACCACGCTGAGGCGGCATCCCACATGCTACAACTAGAAGGACCCACAACGAAGAATATATAACTATGTACCGGGGGGCTTTGGGGAGAAAAAGGAAAAAAAAAATCTAAAAAAAAAAAAAATCAGAACAGTGAGGGGCCAGCCCAGTGGCGCAGTGGTTAAGTGCACATGTTCTGCTTCAGTGGCCTGGCATTCGCCAGTTTGGATCCCGGGTGCAGACCTGGCACCGCTTGGCAAGCCAGGCTGTGGTAGGCATCCCACATATAAAGTGGGGGAAGATGGGCACGGATGTTAGCTCAGGGCCAGTCTTCCTCAGCAAAAAAAAAAGAGGAGGACTGGCAGCAGATGTTAGCTCAAGGCTAATCCTCAGCTCAGGGCTAATCTTCCTCAAAAAAAAAAAAAAAACCAGAACAGTGGTTAGACTTGGCAGGAGGGGGAAGATTGTGACTGAGTGGAGATATGTGGAGGACTTCAGGGTTGACTAGAAAAGCTTGTCTCCTCATTTGGAAAGATTGGCTGAAAGGCATACAAGAATCTTTTGTATTATTATTACAACCTTTCTGTGACTCTGAAGATATTTCTAAAAAAAGTTTTATCTCCTGACCTGGGTGTAGTAACATGGGTGTTTTCTCTATATAACTCATTAAGCTCAGACATTTGTTGTTCTCTGTGTTTTTCTAGTATTTTAAAAAATGGTTTAAAAGTTAAAAATTAAAAAAACAGTTTACATAATTGATTCTAATATTTACTATTCCTAACAATTCAAATCCAACAAAACCTCGTATGATCTGACTCCTCCTAACAGTGTGACCTCACTTCTTGATACTCTGTCCTGAGGACCTCTAGTCGGGTCTACAAAGATGCTCCTCAAACTCACAAAGCTCTCTCCAGCCCCCTCCCTCCAGTCTCCCCTCCCTTTCCCGCTTCACCCCCATTATCCAGAGCCTTCCAAGCTGTTCATTCCTCTTGGGATATTATTCCCAGACAGATGGCCTGGGCCCTTATATCATGTCTCTTCTCAAGTATTACCACCTTAGAAAAGTCATCCCCAACCACCTTATCTAAAATGGCCCAATCTCTGCTTACTTTCTAGTACAGCTCATTCCACTGCATAATGTTATTTATCCATTTTTATCTGTTTATTGTTATATCTCCTCACTCTAGTACAATGTAAATTCCATGACAGCAGGAACCTTGTACGTCTTGTTCAATGTCATTGCATAATGTCTCTGTGTGTGTACGCAAAAGAGGAGCTGGACAGCAGTTGAGTCCAAAATATAGGTAAAATACTGCACCAATGAAAAATGAGATTCCTCATCAATGAAAACGGGTTTGAAATATAACAGAAATAAGGTGACTGGTAAATGGAATAAAGTTGAAGTTTCCTTTCCAGCTCATGTTGAGATTTTTATTTCCTCCCCAGGTCACAAGGTCATGTGCCACAAGTCTTGGTGCCTTGGGGGAGGGCTTTACAAACAACACAGGAATGTAGCTCCGCTGCCTTACCACACAGGCTGCTACCCGCCCCCACGGCTCCCCTCCGCCTTCCTGGCCGTCCTCACCTGTGTGCTGTCTTCGTGTTTCTTCCCTCAAAATCATCCAGGGCTCTTTTCCTTGCTCCAATAAGTCAACCACATCTGGCTTCAAAATGGAATGTCCTGCTTACAAGAAAAAAATGTCACATGGTCTAGAAATAAAAACAAAATTCACAAAATCTTTAACTTTGGTTAAATTTGGAACAAAATAAAGGTTAAGCGTTACTGAAAAAGACTTCAAATAGAAGGATGAGATGACTTAAGAAACCAGGCAGGTATGGTGAAACTTTATTTTAAATTAAACTTATATAGCTCTGCCTCTTAAGAGAATGTTTAACAAAGTGATGGAAAAGGGAAACAGCATTTGAGAGCACTTTCTGGAGCCAGAGGGCCTGGGCACAAATTTTTCTAAGACCTACCAACCTTGTGACGTTAAACAAGTCATTTCAAGTCACTGTTCCACAATGTTGATGAGTAAAATGGGTATGATAATCCTATTAGCATATGGCTGTTTGGTGATTAAATGTATGTATGTATATGTGTGTGTGTGTGTGTGTGTATTCCCCTCCCCACAGGGAAGAGTGTCTGGAACACGGTACCAATTATAATGATTTTATTTCCCTAAGAGGAAAACAAGAAGTATCCCGATTCATTTACAAAATATTCATTCAATTATAAATGCAATGTTCATGAATTATAACTTTCAACCATAAATCATATAAAATTGGTTGCAGGAAATGAAGTGTGGGTTCTTCAGTTTTAAATGAATACTGTTCATCCAATCCACCGCTATATAAATCATAGAGAGAGGCTCTTCTGAGAGTCAGATGCTATCAGACTCTACATCTAGTTGTTGTCGCTGCAGGTGGATCAGAGGATGGCACAGCACATCTACAGCAATTTCCAGCATGAACACAATGGGAAACCAGGCTTCTTAGACAACAGCTGTACACTGAATAAATATAAAGAATTTTTGTTCAGCCCCTTGGCCATTAAGGAAAGGAGGCAATTATAAGAAGGGCCAGAGGAAAATTTGCATGTCACTAAAAGACAGAGAAAAGGATGATGGTTAGTGGCAGAGTCATTGCCAAACTAACAGACCTCAAACCTTCCTCTGGGAACAAGAAAAAGAAATTCAACTTCCATCTTGAAAGACAGCTTTGAAATTCACTGTGTTGCAAGTTAACATAGCACAGAGCGCATTCTAAATGTCTTGTGACAAACAAACTTACCCAGTGAGACCAAATTCCTATAGTTCTCCAGCATGACATCCCTGTACAAGTCCCTCTGAACAGGGTCCAGGTATTCCCACTCCTGCCGAGAGAGGTCTATGGCCACGTCCCTGAAGGTCACTAATTCCTGAAACTGCAAACCCACGTAGTATGAAATTTAAAAAATGTTTTCAAGGTGGAAAGACAGGAGGTTACAGGAGTGCATTAGAGAAGGGAGTGATACAGTATAAGAGAGCTAGAAAATTAAAGCAGAGTGTCTCCATATTCCTGAAGAATCCTCTTGCTACAGACAAGTCTTTGTGTAGGTTGCAGGCTACCGTAATCACTCAAAACTGCTTGGGAATGGATAAAATTAAAGTTTCCCTACTCAGTAAAGTAAAGACGCAATCACATAGTCAGCTAGTTGCATGATGCATAAATTCTCAATAAATGCAAGACTCTCAATTATTTTCCCTTTAAAGTAAAAAAGAAGACGGGATTTCCCTCCCAAATGGTATATAAAAATTTCTGTATTAAAAAAAGCTTATGAAAAAAATTTTGTATTTCCACAAGCCTCCAGTTCATCTTTGTCAGAGCACATCATAACCGTTCTTTGATTGACAAATTTTGGCTGTGTAACAATCCACTTTGTTATGGATATCTCAGACTTAATCCATCCTTGACATTTAGATACTTGGTTGGATGAAATTTCAAAGGTCTTCATCAATTCTAGAAATCAACACATATACTCCTTAGGATAATGTTCTCATTCATTGCCATCTTCCATCACTCACTCAACGTTTTTCTTGTTCCTAGGTGTGTACTGATGTAGGATGAGCCAAAATCAAATAGATGTCACCCAAAATCAACAGATCACATTCAACCACAAAATATATTTGTCTCTCAATAATTCCTTGGTAACAGGCATGACATAAATGATTCCAATCATTCTAAAATTCTCAAAGAACATGAGATTTCATCACATACTAAGATTGAGACCAACTGATAGCAATTTCCATCTTATCTGCCTAACAACTGAGGTCTGTGGAGAATTTCAAAGTCTACTTATGGTAATTAAATGGGACCAACATCTCTAATTCATCAAACCAGAGAACCTGTAAAGGAAACGCAAATATTTTCCTCGTGGGACTTCACTCCTTTACTGCTCCATCACAGCCTTTGATTGCAGAATAAGCACATAAGTGGATTGAGTAAATTAGATGATAAACGCAAACACTGGATAGCAAACACTCATAAGGAGGAAACTGAGCTATCTGCTATCACTTCTTCTGATTTTAGGACAAACTGGGGAGCAGATAATTGAATGAGGCCCTCTTAAGTAGGATTTTTAGGTTAATTAATGAAAAATCCACATAACCTAAAATCGTAATATTGCAAGGAGATAGGAATAAGCAACTTACACAGGTCATGGTTTTAGAAACGTAAGACCTGATCAGTCCTCTTCAGTGCTCCCCCATCGAAAAAAGTTCAAACTCCAGAGAAGCCAGAGCTGAAAGAAAAAAGGTTTTAGTGCTCTCGACATGACTTAATTTAATAAAATCTTTTCGTTCCTCCATTTTGGCTTCCAAAATTAGTCTCCTACAACGGAACACACAATTTCGGGGAAAACAGAAGATGGATATAAGCTCTCCCCCGAGTCCCAGGACACCTGGCTTCACAAAAGTAGTTGTAAAATGCGTCACTTCTGCATCGAAGCCAGATCCAAAGAGAGGAGTCAATTTCCCAGACGAGCTCCCATGCTGGGGAGGCTCATCCAGACCTGAGGTCGGGCTGCTCAGTCCTGCCAGGAACAGATCCACCTGCCTTCACTCCCACCGGCCAAGGCTGAAAGAGGCCTCATCATCCAAACTAGAGGCTCTTTCACAGCCTCAGGGTCAGCTAAGTTGGTCAATATACGGGAAAGGAACACAACAGGGAAGGAATTCATTAGGCCTGGTTCTGTGTTTTGAGTCTAGCCAAGCTGACAAGTTAAATGCCAAATACACATGTGACGGAACACGGAGCAGCCATTACACGCTAAGTGGGAAAACTTTTAAGGACGTGGAAAATATTCCAGACGCACTGTCAATTGAAAAATAAAATTTTAAAAATAGGATGTACAATATGATTATCATTAAAAAAGAGATAGCTAGACTTAGGACAGGGCATAGGACATTAACAGATTGAAAAATCTAGTGATTTATTCATGCGGTTTTTATACAATCCCATATTACCATGACTTTTCTTCTGGTTGTGATTTTGATATTTTTTGGTCTTAAATATACTTCATAATTATTTTAACATTGGCCATATATTAACTGAAAAATATACATGCGTACACACACACACAAATGTATGCGTTAGACGAAGCTATTCTCCAAAAAGCAGAGATTTCATTTAATTTTAAAACACTCTTCTCGGGAGAAAGCTCAGAATACTGTAAAGTCTTCTTGAAGGTTTATCTTGCCACAACATCTTCCAGACAGATGCCAAACTAACTTATCCTATTAGTCTCATTTTGCATCTAACATCATTTGAAGAAAAAAATTAGAAATGAAAAGTTTACAGAATAAAATCCACTTAGCTCCAGAGATCCCATGGGCTCAGTAAAACTTGTTCATACCTTACAGTAACGGCCAGAAACCAACCAATGCCACAATCCTATGAATTCCCAAGTTATGTCACCTGAATCTCTCTAGCAGCCTTTACTGTATACTGACTTACACTTATTCCTATTTATTGTTTATGCTGCTTGACGAATTGTTAGCATTTAAAAGTAACAGCTAAGAATTTTTAGTCAATGAATCACTCCAAACGCTAACATCACAGGGTCAGATATATTGCAAGCCCTTAAAATGTCTGATTTTTTATGTGAAGCTCAACTATTAGAAATTTATCCTAGGGTCCAGCCCTGTGGCCAAGTGGTCAAGTTCGCGCGCTCCACTTTGGCAGCCCGGGGTTCACCGGTTTGGATCCTGGGCACGGACCTACACAACGCTCTTCAAGTCATGCTCTGGCAGCATCCCACATAGCAGAACTAGAAGGACTTACAACTAGGATAAACAACTATGTACTGGGGCTTTGGGGAGGGGAAAAAAAAGAGAGAGGAAGATTGGCAACGGATGTTAGTTCAAGGCCAATCTTCCTCACCAAAAAAAGAGAAATTTATCCTAAAGAACAAAAACAGAGGTACACAAGTTATATGCAGAAGAATACTTTTCAGTGAATTTTTGATAAAAAGCTGGAAACATGTCTAACAGTAGACATGTTAAAAGAATTATGGTGTAACATATACTGGCATATTACGCTATTATCAATAATTATGATATTGATCCACACAAACAATGAAGAAAAAGCATTTGTGATGAATTATTGAGTGAGCCAGGTAGGTTTTAAAAATAACCAATATTTGGGAGGTGTAATGAATACAGACTCTGTGGTCACACTTTTAGGACATGACTTTCAGATTTAAGCTCTAGTGGTTAATAACGTCAGTGCCTTGAAGTCTCACTGGCAAACTGGGAAAGACTACAGCTTAGCATATAAGATGGTCGGAAGATTAAGCAAAATAATCCATATAAAATACCTAATAAAATAATTGCTATATGTAAGTTAGCGGTTACTATTTGAAGTGAAGAAGCTTACATGTTCCTTAATTTACTATTTTAAAAGAAACACAATTCTGCTAATTCCATTTATTCTTACAATAAAATTTGAGTTTCTCTGGCCTGCATTCTTATAATGCTAACTAAAAAATGTCAAAGCTGGGCTTTAAGCATGTAATTCTCCTCAACCAACAATATTAGCAAAAAAGATTCTCAAACACTTAAGGAGAAAACGTGCCCTTCCCCTGCCCCAAGCAGGTAGAGAAACCACCTCATCACCCTACAGGAGCTCAGAGAATCTCATCTGATCAGGTGCCAAATTAAGAAATGTAATAAGAGTCTAAATACTGTTTTTTGGTACAACATGGAGACATACGACCATCTGTAACTTCTACTATCTGTTCCACGTTTCTGTTAACATAAATCTATCATTGGAATTGTTGTTCATACAACAGATACTTGGAATCACTCAGACATCAGAGATCATTTCTATATTCTGTGAAATGACGTTAAATCTCTTTTTAAAAAATCAAATTCTAAAATGCTATCTGAGTTGATAATCTCGTTTCCTGGTAATTAATTTTAAAAGCCAAATCTATGCTCCTAAAAGGTGAAAATACTCAGAAGGCTTTTCAAGTCAGAAGGGGATCATGGGCCTTCTTTCTTCTCTTTACATGTACAGAGGTATAACGAAACCTATGGATTCCTTTTTAAATTAAGAATTGGAGGGCCAGCCCTGTGGCCGAGTGGTTAAGTTCATGCGCTCCGCTTCGGCAGCCCAGGATTCGCCCGTTCAAATCCGGAGTGCGAACATGGCACCACTCATCAAGCCATGCTGAGGCGGCGTCCCACATGCCACAACTGGAAGGACCCACAACTAAAAATACACAACTATGTACCGGGGGGCTTTGGGAGAAAAAGGAAAAATAAAATCTTAAAAAAAAAGAAAAGAATTGGAAATTCTCTGTCACCTTGTATAATCAAATATGGTGATTTTATATTGCAGAATCAAGATCAAAAACATATGCTCACAGATAACTGGAAAAATCTCCACCAAAACATAATTAGTGATTAATGGTGTGTGTGTGTGGGGGGAGTAATTTTATTTTTCTTGTTCAATTAGTTCTTTAGGTTACTGGATTCTCCAGCAACAGCCAGATATAATTCCTACCTGGAAATATAGCATTGATATTATCCAAAATACTTTTTAAAATAAAAATATGAGGAGACTCTTTCTACTCGTTAAGTAAACTATGAACTCTAGCTCAGAATTGGAAAAACAACGTCATTGAAATAAATTTCACCTACCATTTCTTGGACATCCTTGAGTAATATCATCAGTAGAATTCAAAAGTTTCACTATCAAGATTTTTCTGTGAATGAACATAATCCGGGTAATGTGAAATGAGCAGATTGAAAGAATGTGTAAAAAGCAGACAGAAAAGAGTTTCGTACATAGTAGATTCTCCATAAAAGTAGATACAGACGTCTCTTTCACAAAAGTATAATTAAAATATCGTTTTCGACACAAACCTTGCAAAATGTCTTACACAACCCTACATTGTTAAATGAGATTCATATATAGTTTTAAAAATGCTTTTGAGTAGTACTTTTCATAGCTACAAATATTACTTCACATTACATTAAGTATTTTTCCTTCTTATGGAGAATCTTTATAAGCATGTTATTTTTTCCATGTGTGTACGTATGTAGTATGTAATGGGATTTACTTAGCCTTCTGTAATCTTGAACACTCACTTTATACGGATTGTCTCCAATATTACCACTTTGTTTCCAAACTAATGGTTCTGAATCTGTTTGCTTATATTCACCTTTGATAACTAGGAAATACACAACACTTCTGAATATGATTTCAAATGATTTGTGGGTCCCTGGAAGTTCCTAAGAGCATCAAAGGACTGAAGATTAAGAACCATTGTTCTTGGGGTTGGCCCCGTGGCCGAGTGGTTAAGTTTGCACGCTCCGCTGCAGGCGGCTCAGTATTTCGTTCGTTCGAATCCTGGGCATGGACATAGCACTGCTCATCAAACCACGCTGAGGCAGCATCCCACATGCCACAACTAGAAGGACCCACAACAAAGAATATACAACTATGTACCAGGGGGCTTTGGGGAGAAAAAATAAAATCTTAAAAAAAAAGAACCATTGTTCTTAACCTGTTGAGCCTGTGGATAATTTTCTCACCTTGCAAATAATCATCAATCAGATTCATATTTCTGTTACTACTGAACCTTGAAGGAGAATTGCCCAGAATCATGACATAACAACAGTGAATATTTATTGAGCCTCCTATGTTCCAGGCTGTGTTGTCACGAGCCTTACATTTTCCTCCTTGTTATTTCCTATGAAGTAGGTACCAGTATAAAGAACATCGGAGAGCTGTGGAACACCGAAGCTGCATAAATAAACACACTGCCTAAGGTCATGTAGCTAGGAAGTGGCAGAGCCAAGATTCAAACCAAACATGGGATATCCAGGGCCCCTTCTCTTCATTATCACACCACACTGCCTCTCACAATCCACACAGTGACGTGCCTGAAAAAACCCAGGCTGCCAGACCACAAACAACACCTGACCTTTACTACTAGTTCTAACTTAGAGTTCACCTGAACATACTCCACCCCTTGTTGACACGGACCTCTACCCTAAAATACCCAATTACAGTCCCACTTCCAGAAGCCTCATAAAGAAGATGCCTTTGTCATTTGTTGACAGTCAGGCCTCTGGAGAATACCAAAGACACCTGGTGTGTGATTCCACATAAACCCAAGCTGCCTTGCCCAATCACCGCCTAACATAAAGACTAACTGCACGATTCGAATGAACTGCCAGTCAAGTATGTGACTATTACTTGGAGAGGAGAGAGAAAATAAGAGCCATTGTAAAGGATTTATCTCAATGACTTTTGTCATGAACTGACAGAAGGCCTAAGATAAGTGTCTACCTAGGACACTCCAGGCAAAGAAAATCAAATAAAAATTTTGTGAACAAGGAAACCTACCTGAAGCTTGATTTTTCGACATCGACCATATTTCTTAACCTTCACTGTTTTTGTAATGCAATGATCCTTTCCTCCTTCTTGGGTTCCTTCTTTGAGAGAATGGCAGGAACGCAGGAGTGAGTCATGATCTCACATACAAAACCAGGAAATCGGAGGAGGGGCTGAAATCCGTGTTTGAGTTCACGTCTGGTGCCTGGGGTCAGAGCTGCGGGAATGTTGTGGTTCTGAGCCCAGTGGCTGCCCCCACAGCGCTCCAAGGAAAGGCCTTCCATCACGGTAACTCGGGTGGCCTCCCCATGTCTTTCCAGGAGCCTGGCTTAAGAGGCACCTTGGGGCTCTAAAACTTCCTACCGCAAGCTGAGGTGTGCGCTTTCTTGCTGGAAACCTCCATGCTAGTGCTCAAAATGTGACCTCTCTTGGGGCCATGTCTTTGTTGCAGCCTCACATGGTTGTGAGGTGACAGGATAGAGGAACTAGCACATGGACCAAGAGCCACTGGTCACAGTGACACGCACGGAGCCCAGCCATCCACGCTCACACAAAGGCGCCTGGAACAGGCTCCCTACAGACACGGATTTTTCCCAGACAGACGGCCATAGATGTATCTATTGATTCGAAAAACTCATTATTTAATATACCAAAAACTGGAATTTCCCTGTGCCTCTGGGGGACAGGTCTTTGGCAGATTCTGAAACTTCAAGCCCAGGAGGTTCTTTCATGGTTCACCAAGGACGATATTGTGCAATACGAAGACAGACTTTTCAAAGATGTTGTCAGGGCTTAACTGCATGCAGTTTAAAATGTGCGAGGCAATGATCTTAAACTTTCTCTTTCTGAAACATACTTAAGCCTTCCATCAACACAATGACCTGCATTCTATTATTATTTCTATTTTTCAGAGGTTAAATAACCTGCCCCATATCATACATCTCTGCTAAGCTATGAATCCGTTTTTCCAACTAAGACCAGGAGACCTCAGCCTGACTCTTAATTCTCACTATGCATCTCGAGCTGCTCAAACGTCCCTGGGCAAATAGCAATAACACTAGGAGGTAGGTGCTGTTTCTATGTCATTTCAAAGATAAGAAAACTGAAGCTCAGGAGTGTTAATTGAAGTATCTAAAGTCCCTCAAATACTAAGTGAGCACAGCTGGGAATAAAATACTATCTTCCTAACTGCGGATACGTGGTGAGGGTGGTCGATACAAGGATCCAATAACAACCACATGTCAGGTGTTTCACAGATATCCTCTTCTTAAATTTTCAAGAGGCCCTTAGAACATGGGTATCCTTTTCTCAAATTTGGAGATGAAAATTGAAATGAAAGGGCTTCAATAAATTCATCAAGATCTAACCAATATTTAAGGACAGATAGAGATTGGAACCTAGGGGTCGGTAAATTCAAGGCACGGTATCACAGCCAGTTCTCACTCTACCTCCTCATTCAAGAGAACTCAAATATCTGCCATTATCAACGCAAACTTTTCTTTTGAGGCAGACTAGCCCTGAGCTAACGTCTCCTGCCAATCCTCCTCTTTTTGCTGAGGAAGACTGGCCCTGAGCTAACATCCGTGCCCATCTTCCTCTACTTTATATGTGGGCTGCCTACCACAGCATGGCTTGCCAAGCGGTGCCATGTCCACACCCAGGATTCGAACCGATGAACCCCAGGCCGCTAAAGCGGATGTGCGCACTTAACCGCTGCGCCACAGGCTGGCCCTAGGCAAACTTTTAATTTATCCTTTGTTTATAAAAATGCTTCTCTTGGGCCAGCCCCGTGGCTGAGTGGTTAAGTTTGCGCGCTTCTCTTCGGCAGCCCAGGGTTTCGCCGGTTCGGATCCTGGGCGCGGACATGGCACCACTCATCAAGCCATGCTGAGGTGACGTCCCACATGCCACAACTAGAAGGACCCACAACTAAAAATATACAACTATGTCCCAGGGGTGTTTGGGGAGAAAAAGGAAAAATAAAATCTTTAAAAAAAAAATGCCTTCGAAGAATAAGGCTTCTCCCCCAACCTTAAACACTGTCTCCACAACCCTCTTCCACTGAACAGAGCCCCGTGAAGGCAGGAATTTAGTCTCTTCCACAACCATGTTCCCATCACCTAGAATAGTGCCTGTCGTGTATTAGGTTCTCATTAATTAATTAGAGCTGAAGGAATTAGTCCTGTGATTTCCCCTTCACTTGTTAACTATCCTTCTTGCCTCCTGGCCTTCCAAGTCTTTGCATCTGGAACCTGCTCTGAGTCCTCTCTCTCTTATACTCAGAGCCTGAGCAGCTCAGGTCACAAAGTCTTTGTTACTGCACAAGAATTCCTACTCCTTGGTTTAATGATTCAGATAGATAACAGCTATTATCTGATGATAAGTGTGATGGAATTTCTGGCTGAATCTTCACTCAAGGAGAAGCTGATTAAATTATTGCATTTATAAAAAATGCAGTCATTCCTCTGTCATTGGTAGGTATTGACTACCTAGCACCTCCCCATCCATCAAATCCCATTCTGCCCTCCCTTCTTACACAGCACAGTCCCTCATTATAACCACTCTTTTGCTTACACCCTCATCTCCACGCTCCTCTCTGCTCCACATTTGCTTAAAGATCACCACCTTGGTTAATTCCAACTCTTTTTCACTCTATACTTGCGCTTACACAACTGACATTCAAGAAAAACATATGCTCACATTAAAATCATGGCCATAAAGCAGAAGCGGAACATTAACACTGCTCAGCATTCCTATTTTCTATTTTCCTAATCATTTCCTTTTCTCACTCAGACTACCAATGTAGGAGAATGTCCTGGCTGACAGTGAAACCACATGATGTTAGAAATGTAGGTCTCAACAGGATAAAGATGCTAAAGTAAAAGCATTGTGACCTCACAACCTTAAAAGAGTAGTTACATCAGCTGCAAAAGAGAACAAAATCATTCCATTTGCAATAACATGGATGGACCTTGAGGGAATTATGTTAAGTGAAATAAGCCAGCTAGAGAAGGATAATCTGTGTATGACTCCACTCATATGAGGAATTTAAAAATGTGGACTAAGAGAATAGTTTAGTGGATACCAGGGGAAAGGTGGGGTGGGGGGTGGGCACAAAGGGTGAAGTGGTGCACCTACAACATGAATGACAAACATTAATGTACAACTGAAATTTCACAAGATTGTAACCTATCATTAACTCAATAAAAAAAAAAGAGTAAGTTACAGCATTGTCTCAAAAATCTCTCAACAACAGCAACGAAATAGATTTTTTTTGCCCATCAGTGACTTTCAACTGTAACCCCTACACCCATGTTTTGATCCATAAGACCTGCAAGTCTCGGAGAGTATTTGATTCAATGACTTAAGAAAGGAAAAAAATACATGTCAAGAACAAGGGTTGTCCACTCTGGCCTGTGGGTCAAATCCTGCAGACACTCAGTTTTTGTCAGTAAAGTTTCAGTGCAGCACAGCCAGGTGGTAATCCGTTCCTGTCTGTGTCCTCTGGCTGCTTTCATGCTCCCAGAGCAGAGCCGAATAGTTGTAATAGGTCATACGACCCACAGGCTGAAAGTATTTACTGTCTAGCCCTTTACAGTACAAGTCTGCCAATCAACATGACCTATCTCTGGTGATACTGACTTGGACCACACAGTTAAGGTGGTGTCTACAGATTTCCTCAATGTCAAGCACTACTTTTCATTTTCTATACTCTATTCTTTGGTGTCAAGTCGCTAATTCCAGTCTATACTCATGGGGAGGGGAATTAAACTCCACACATAAATTATGTGGAATTGTTCTCTACGGAAATTTGTTCTGCCTCTGTTAGTTTTATTCAGTCATGCGTTTGTACATAGGTATGGATTCATGGGGATGCATTTATCTGAGGGTTACAAGCCAGTAGCGGCATTATTTTGTTGCTCAAGTTGCTCCAGCTCTGGCCCTTGGGCACTGTTTCAGATCGGCCTCCGTATCCTCAGTATCCTGCTGTTCTTCGGAGAGCACTTCCTGTCTGACACTATGAGGTGTGCCAGGCTCATCTTATATGTACTCTGCCTCAGTCCTAGAGTCAGCCATTTCTCCAAGGAGCCTTGGTTCCTTTTATTGGAGAACGGTATTTAGAAAACAAAATCTGGGTGCTGGATGTGCCCATTGATGCTGAGGTCACTGTTTCTAGTCCCTCTCAACAGACAAAGCTGGGAAATCTATGTATGGATTTGAGTCCATATACACACCTATCTATATTTCTATTTGTCTATAACATGAGTTCATACTGATAACTCCAGTCCAGCACCCGAAGTTGCATTCTAGCCATCCCCATGGACAGTGAGAATCAAAGTTCCCTTATGCTTTATTTGTTCAACACACAGAAAGTAGTTTCAGAATTGCAAACCCATATCCTGTAAGAGCCAAAGTTACCAAGTAGAGTTCTGTGTTTAATTACAGTTGTTTTTTTTTTCTGATGATTAGCCCTGAGCTAACATCTTTGCCAGTCTTCCTCCACTTTATTTATTTATTTTTTTTAATTTATTTTGAGGAAGATTAGCCCTGAGCTAACATCTGTGGCCAATCCTCCTCTTTTTGCTGAGGAAGACTGGCCCTGAGCTAACATCCATGCCCATCTTCCTCTACTTTATATGTGGAATGCCTACCACAGCATGGCTTGCCAAGCGGTGCCATGTCTACACCCGGGATCCAAACCGGTGAACCCCAGGCCACCAAAGGGAACATGCGCACTTAACCGCTGCACCACCGGGCCGTCCCCCTTCCTCCACTTTATATGTGGGTTACTGTCATAGCATGGCTGACAAGTGGTGTAGGTCCACACCTGGGATCTGAACCCATGAACCTGGGCCGCTGAAGTGGAGTATACCAAACTTAACCATTATGCCACAGGTCTGGCCCCTATTTATAGTACTTTTAGATTTACAGTATCCACTCGAAACACTATTTTCCACAGTGACTTAGGTCAACTCCTTTTCCCCACCCACTGTAGGGAGGAATATGTCATACATTGGTAATGCTGGTAGATACTTATGTTCAAGTCTGTATTCCATCCTGGGATCCCTGACATGCAGGTTAGTTTTTCGTTTGTTTGTTTTTTAATTTACAAACAGTAAAGTTCATTGCATGTGATATATAGTTCTGTGGGTTTTGAAAAGTCCATAGAATCATGAATCTACTACTTGAGTACCATTCAGAACAGTACAATAAAAATTCTCTTGTGCATCCCCTTTGTAGTCAACCATTCCTCCCCTCTCAACAGTAGGAATTAATGAGTCAAAAAGGAAGGTAGCCCGAACGACAGAAAACAGAATTCTGGCCAGAAGCTGGTTTTATATCCTTGCTTTTATTCCAGAAAGTACCCAAAGGAGCTAGCTGTAAATAATGGGCAGGAAATCAAGATAATACTTACAAGAGTTATAGGTTTAGAAAATTCTAAGAAAAAAAGGGAGCAAACAAGGCTATTCTAAGTTGGGGTAAAGACACCCAATCCTAAAAATAGGAAAGGAGAAATCCCATAGTATGAAAGGCAGCAGGTTCACTGACTTACTCTGTTAGCTGTCTTTTGTTGGAAGCAATGAAACACTTCATGCTAGCTTAGTCTCAAACGATATATTGTTTCAAGAACTGGGATTTACAAGGGATGGGGTCCCCTTGGCCCTCATGGGCTTCAAGAGTCAGGAGACTCTTGTCTTTCACGTGCTGCTCTGGGTCTGCTTTCTCCTGTGTCAGCTTCATTCTCAGACTGTGTGACAGCCCAACAAGCTATCTTGTGCTTTCCTCGTCCTTGAAATGAGAAATAGGTGATGATCGTTTCCTGGGAGCTCCCAGGAAAATAATAGAGAGGACTCCCACTGGCCTAGCTTGTGTCTTAGGCTTATCCCTGAACCCATTACTGTGACAAGGAACATAGGGTCCTCAACTTGATAGCCTCTTCCCCCATGGTGGGGAGAGGTGGAGAATTGGGCAAGAATTGAAGAACTGTCCCCACTAAGAGAGTGGTGAGAGGCCCATAATGAATTGCAAAGACACCTAGCCAATCAGGAGTAACAAGACAACAGCTGGACGTACCTCATTACCTGTTAAAAGGAGGAAAACTGGAGCCAGCCCTGCTGGCCTAGCGGTTAAAGTTCGGCATGCTTCGCTTCAGCGGCACAGGTTCGTCTCCCAGGTGAGAACCACACCAGTCGTCTGCCAGCAGCCATGCTGTGGCAGTGGCTCACATAGAAGAACTAGAAGGACTTATGAGTAGACTATACAGCTATGTACTGGGGCCTTGGGGAGAAAAAAAAAGGAGTTTAATGCTTAATGTGAGTAAGAAACATGTTTTTCTCAGCTGTTGGTCCAGTAGTAATATGGTGTTTAACAATGAATGAAACAATATACTAACGTAATTTGTGAACATTTTCTTTATTAATTACCGTATAACCATACGAGGTAAGTATTTTTGTTGTATTTATATGTAAATAAACGGAGGCCTAGAGAGTTTGAGTAACTTGCCCTGTTTTCACTGCCAGTAAGTCAAAGAGTTGTGCTTGTATACATTCTATCCATGATCTTAAGGAAATACTCAAAGGCCTTCCATACATTTAATATTTTCATCCTTTCTCTTAAACATAAAAGGTGTCTCAGATCTTCTGTGCCTTCTTTCCCCATCTGTCTGCATCTTGTACTTTCTCTACCACTGTCTGTGTCTAGGACTGTCTGCCCAATTCTCTCAACTGTTCTTCAAACACACAGGTGCTGAGAGCATCGTACCCAAAACTTTCCTTGACTACAGCCTCATGGCTGGTGTTGGATGAACATCAACCAATTATAGTCAGTTTCTATGTTTCCTGTTTCCTTTTTCATTAACTCATGCAGGAGACTATTTATCAAATCTTATTTTTTAGTTACAAAGGGTAAAATTTTTAAAACCCAACAGTAGAAAAGTATATAAATCAAAATAAGAAATTCCCTCTTTTTTTTTTTTTTTTTTTTTGCTGAGGAAGATTTGCCCTGAGCTAACGTCTGTACCAATCTTCCTCTATAATTTTTGTACATGGGTTGCTGCCACAGCATGGCTGATGAGCGGTATAGGTCTGCTCCTGGGATCCGAACCTGCAAACCTGGGTCACCAAAGTGGAGCACACAGAACTTAACCACTATGCCATGGGGCCAGCCCCAGAAATTACTTGTTTTAAATCTTCTACTCTCAAGAAGTGATGATTTAAAAATCTTCATTCATAACCTACAGTCCTTTCTAATGCATACATACTTTATAAATGATATATGTATAAACACACAAAATCCTATATAATACAAGTATTGTATATATTACATAGCAAATATTATGTGCCATTTGTTATATATGTGATTTATAATATGTCACTTAGGTATTATAAATAAAAAATAAATCATCCTGTTCTTGCCTTAAGCTGAAGGTATAAAGAGAAAATTCTCAATAGTTCACCAAATAGTATTGAAAAACAATGTATGTATTTTTTCAACTACACAATCACAGCAATGCTTCCTGAAAGTTCTCTTTATTCATCTGCCTCTCTAAAGCCTCCCCAAAGAGAATGCAGGCGGCCCCCACTTCTCCTGCCTCAGCCTCTCTCCCTCACTCAAATCCCACTTCTACCACTTCTTCAGTCTCTTTTCTCTTATTCCCTCTTTTTTTAGTGTTATAAATCAACTTAGCCTTCCCATAAAACTCTGGGTTCTTCTGAAGCCTGTCGTGAACAGCACGTCCAGCACAGCCAGGCACAGGGGAGCGAGTGACTGTGCTGTATGTATCACATCTCTCTTTCTCACACGGTCACACACACACGGTCACACACACAGTCACACACACACGGTCACACACACACGGTCACACACACAGTCACACACACACGGTCACACACACACGGTCACACACACACGGTCACACACACAGTCACACGCATACATTTCTTTTCCATTTTGGGGTCAAATTTTACATACAATTTTTAAATGGTTTATTTTCTTTCATAATATAAGACAGAAACATTTGATAATTGTAAATTTATCTGGCATGAAGCAATCCCTCTAAACTCGTCAGTTCTAATAAACTGTCTCTGAAGTTTGTTTCATTATATAGATAATCATGTCTCCAGAGCACCACAGATTTATTTATTTTCTTCCTATCTTTAAAAAATCTATCTACTTGCCTTTCCTCTTAGGTTTTCAGGACCTTCAGAATGACTGAGTTTTACTGTGTTAAATGGTAGCGGTTCTATGGGAACCTCTGGTCAAGCTCCTTCTCTGAATGCTTCTGCGTTTAGTATAATGTTGCTGTCACCTGTGGGTATACAATTTTCCCAAGTTTATGTTCTCTTCTATGATGTTTCCCCTCAAAATTCAATTGTGAAAAGAGAATGAGAACCCAAGCCATAGATTGGGAGAAAACATTTGCAACAGACACTGTTATCCAAAATATACAAAGAATTCCTAAAACCCAACAATAAGAAAATGAACAACTTGACTAAAAAATGGGCAAAAGACCTGAACAGACAGCCCCCCCAAAGAACATATACAGATAGTAAATAAGCATATGAAAAGATGATTATGTCATAGGGAAATGCAAATTAAACCAACAATGAGATGCCCCTACAGGCCTAACAGAACGGCCAAAATCCAGAACACTGACAACACCAAGTGCTGATGAGGACGTGGAGCAACAGGAACTCTCATCACTGCCGATGGGAATGCAAAACGGTACAGATGCTTTGGAAGACAGTTTGGAGGTTTCTTACAAAACTAAATCTACTCTTACCATATGATCCAGTCATCATACTCATTCATATTTATGCAAATAAGCTGAAAACTTTTGTCCACACCAAACCCTGCACACAACTGTTTATAATAGCTTTATTAATACTTGCCAAAACTTGGTAACAACCAAGATGTCCTACAGTGGGTGAACGGATAAAGTATGGTACATCAGACACTGGAATACTACTCAGTACTAAAAAGCAATGAGCTTTCAAATCATGAAAAGACATGGAGGAAACTTAAAAGCGTTTACTAAGTGAAAGAAGCCAATCTGAAAAGGCTACATACTGATGATTCCAACTATCTGTCATCCTGAAAAAGGTAAAACTAGGGAGATGGTAAAAAGATCAGTGGTTGCTAGGGGTTATGGGAGAGAGAGGGATGAACAGGTGGAGCACACAGGATTCTTAGGGCAGTGAAACTACTTTGTATGATACCACAATGGTGGATCCATGTTGTTATACATTTATCCAAACCCACAGACTGTGCAACACCGAGAGTGAACCCTAATGTAAACTATGGACTTTGGGTGATGATGATGTGTCAGTGTAGATTCATCAGTTGTAGCAGATGTATCACTTTAGTGTGGAATGTTGATAGTATGGAAGATATGTGGATGTGGAAGCAGGGAGTGTATGAGAACTCTGTATTTTTTTTTTCCCCTCAATTTTGCTGTAAACCTCAAACTGCTCTGAAAAATAAAATCTATTTAAAAGGAAAAGAAATTCAATTATGTTCCATATTAAGATCACTCTTCCACCTTTCTTTTTCATTCATATTTCTCAGTGTATATTTTCCGATTTTAACAGAACATTCATGATTGTGTCTCTTTAGGCCATATAATTTCAAACTTTGTAAAAACACCCAGTGTCTTTTAGCTATTGTTATCCATAAATTTTGTTATTTTTATATTAAGCTTATTTCTACCATTTAATTTCATATTTCACTGCATTTTCTTTTTGCTCCTTCTAGCTTCCATTACCTGAACCAAGTTTTCTCCTGCTGGTTTAAATGTTATATAGTCTAGCATATTTTCTCCAAGTATTTTAACATGTGCTCAGTTCCTTTGGCCTCTAGCATCCTCATGAGCATGTTGATAATGTCTAGAGAATTAGTTCTGAATTATTAAAACATACTTTTTATTTTATCTTTTGTCTTTCCTCTTTTTAGACATTAAACAATATTCTCACTCCTACATCTCTTGCCTGAATTTATTCTTTGCAGAGAACTTCCTCCAAGATGATTTACAAAGTGAATTTCTATAGGCAAACTGAGAAAAGTTGGCTTGACATAGTTTTAATTCATCCTCAATTAAAGAACAGTCTGGCTGGATATAGGATTCTAGATCCTATGATTGTTTTCTACAGTATTTACCTATATTACTTCATTACGTTCTTGCATCCATAATGCTTGTTGAGGAATCTGAGGTACACCTGATATGTGGATCTACACATTTCTCTGGCAGCTTTTAGAATTGTTTTCGGCTGTGATGTTTTCATGTTTTTGTAGTTTATTATGGCATATTTAGGTATATTTTTCTTTATGTGGCATTTCATGTCTGTTTATTTTGTCCTAGGAACTCAATGCCCTGTTCAACTACCCTGTCACTAATGCATACTTTCCTAATGTGCACTTGAATGTTTAATTGATTCGGGGGAAATTTTCATCATTCCTCAAATATTTCCTACTCTTTCTTGTTCTTCTCCTAATTCTGGGACTACTATTTTCTAGATACCAGTACTTTTGTCCTCCATTTCTATAGTTTTATTTTCTACTTTCAGTCCCCTTCTTCTTTCCTGTTGCTTTCTGTGAAAGTCCCTCAAATCTATGTTCCAGCCCACCAGGCCATTCTTTGGCTCTATCATTCCTACTGCTGTGACAACTGTTGTGTTTTTTATTGGAACTCATGTTTTATATCCCTAACCTATCTACAAGGCCTTTTGATGATTTCTTACTCCTGATACAAATTAATACCTACCCTTATCCTAAGTATGTTCATTATGCCTATTTTAAATTACTGGTCTTTATATATCAATAATTCTGCCTCAAGTGTTATATGTGGTTTTATTGCATTGTCCTCCTCAGGTGTCTGGTTACTAAGGAACCCTTAATCCCCTGAATATGCCAGCTACCTTGTCACTAATGTATACTTAGGAAGACCGAAAGCTGCTCTCTACTTTGTGTCCTCTTGGTGAGTGAAAGCAGAGGGGAGGCAAGCAGCCCCAGGGCAGACAGCCTCCAGCAGCACCACAGTGGGTCCCCCCTCTGGTGACATTCATTCAGGTAATTCCTCTGGTACTGTAAACTGAGGATCAGCAATTTTTTTCATAAAAGGCCAGATAAATATTTTTGCAACTACTCAACATTGCTGCTGTGGCTGGAAAGCAGCCACTGACAATATATAAATGAATGGGCGTGGCTGTGTTCCACTCAAACTTTATTTTATTGGTTTAAATTAATATATAAAAAGAAGCTCTGAGAGATCTCTTTAAGTTGTGTGTGCCAGGTGTAAGCATTTTGGAGGGGAAGTGATGAAAAAGTGAATTTTTAAAATTTCTTTAATAGAGGATTAAATGTATAAAGTGAAAATAGTAACAGTGCATAGTATAATGTATAGTATAGACAGAAGTGAAATGTATGATAAAAAATAATCCAAAAGAAAGGAGGGAGAAAGGTAAATATACTGTTGAGTGTTCTTTTATAATGTTAGGTAATACAACATTATTTGAGGATGGATTGTGATAAACTAAACAAAATATATACTGGAAACAGAATAATCACAAAAAATAAAATAAAGGGGTATATCTAGTAAGTTAAAGTGGAAATGCAAAAAAAAATTTCCAATTTAAGACAAGGCAAAAAGTGGGAAAGGAAACAAGCAACAGACAGACAGACAGAAAACAAGGTACCAATGGTACATACAAACATAAATACCTAGATATGTGGTTATTGGACCAGCATTAGAAAGACCTGTGAACTTGACAGAACTGCAGATTCACGGGCTTCACCACAAATATGGGGATGGGACCCAGAAAAGCATGGTTTAACAAGCTCTCCAGGTGACTTTTACAGATGTCAAAGTTTTAGAACCACTGACACATAATTAGATCAACTGTAAATTGTCTAATGATTACAATTAAAAGAGATGGTCAGGCTAGCTTTAGGAAAAAAAAAGGACAGTACTACACATTATCTGCAAGAAGCTCATTTTAAATATACATAAGAAAGATAGGTCAAAAGTAAAAGGATAGACAAGAGAATATCATGGAAACACTAATCCAAAGAAAGCAGTAGTGGCAATGATGATATCAGACAAAGAAGATTTCAAAACAAGAAATATTACCAGAGTAAGAAAGTCATTTCATAATGATAAGGTATCCAATTGCTCAGCCCACATTCACAAGTGTGAATGTACTGAATAACTGCTTCAAAACAGGAAACAAACTAACAGAAGTGAAGAGTAATAGGAAAATTCCAAATTTATAGTCAGGAGACTTCAACACCCTTCTCTCAGTAAATAGACAGCAAATCAGTAACAATAAAGAAGACGACACTATCAAATAGGCCTACTTGACATTACAGAAAACTCCACCCAACAACAGCAGAATACCTATTTTTTTAAGAGTATATGAATACTCACCAGGAAAGACCACATGTTGGGAAATAAAACTCATAAAGTTAGAAATATCCAATCACACAGAGTATGTTTTTAGACCACAACGGAATTATTAAAAAATGTTTGGAAATTGGGCAATATATATTTATACAACCCATGAGTGAAAGAAGAAATGTCAAATGGAATTTAAAATATGTTGACCTGAATAATAATGAACATAGAACATGTCAAAATTTGTGACATTCAGTTAAAAAAAGATTTTAGAGAGAATGGCTAAAATTCAAAAGACTGATAATAAGAAGGGTGGAAAGATGTGGAATCATTGGAACTGTCATAAATTAATAGTGGGAATATAAAACAGTTTTAAAAATTGGAAAATAGCTTGGCAATTCATCGTAAAGTCAAACATACAACTACCATACTACCTAGCAATTTCACACCTAAGTGTTTACCTAAGAGAAATAAACACTTAGACCCATTCAAAGACTCTCACGGAAATGTTCATAGCAGCTTTATTCATAATAGCCCCAAAGTAGAACAACCCAAATGTCTCTTGACAGGAGAAAAGATAAATAAATTAAGATATGTCCATTTAATGTAATACTACTCAACTATATATTGGATTGAGCTTATACATGTAACATGGATGAATCGCAAAATAATTATGCCGAGTGGAAGAAACAAGACAAAAAGAATACATACTGTTTGATTACATTTATATACACTTTGAGAAAGTGCAAACTAATTTTTCGTAACAGAAAGCAGACAGTGGTTGCCTGGAGGCAGAGTCGGAGGGGGCAAGGAGGGCTGGGAGGAGGGGGGATTACAAAGGCTTTGGGGGGTGATGGATTTGTTCAGTATCTTGATGTAGTGATGGTTTCATGGATGTGCGCATGCGCATTTCAGAATGAATCCATTAGTAACTACATGTGGGGATGGATGTTTACTAGACTTGACTGTGATTAGTTCACAATATAAACAAATATGGAATCATTATGTTGTACACCCGAAACGAACATAATGTTATATGTCAATTATATCACAATAAAAAAACAAATCTGAGTGTACACTTTAAATATGTGCTGTGTACTTCACGTCAATAAAGATGTTATTAACGACATGGTATTTTGGTTTGAAATAAAGGTAGATACAATACATATGACACCTGTAACTTAGAGGATAGGGCTATAAATGGACCTACACATTGCAAGGTTCTTATCCTTTATGTGTAAGAGTAGAGTTCAATATTAACCCTTAAGTAGACGATGGATAGGTAAGAATATGTACTGGGGGGATTTGGGGAGAAAAACCAGAAAGAAAAAAAGAAAAAAGAAAGATTGGCAACAGTTGTTAGCTCAGGTGCCAGTCTTTAAAAAAAAAAAAGGAAAAAAAAGAAAATATATTATAATACAGACAGTGACCACTAAAAATGGTCACAAAGTATAGCAAAAAAGCAAATTAAAATGGAATTAAATAAATATTTAATTGACCCAAGAGAAGACAAAATAGAGAAACAGGGGAACAAAAGCCAGATGGAAAAAAAACAGAAAATAATAAAAAGGATGACTTTAATTTAACTGTATCAATAAATACATTAAATGTAAATGGACTAAACACTCCAATTGAAATAAAGATACTGTCACAAGGTATAGAAACTCTCGTTTTTCTACAAGAGAGTTTGATAAAACTAAGGAATGTCTTCAATCCTCAAGTTCTTTATGTTAAATCCTATCATACATAGTTTTCTTATTTTAACAAATATTTTGAATGGCTGCATAGCACTCAAACTTACAGTTATGACAGAATTAATCATCTTTAGATGATTAGGTTTCTATACATTAGGTTGGACAACATTTCTAAGGTCTTTTCCATTCTTCATCTCTGTAACTTAAACTACTTATGTTTTTATTCTCTTTTATGGCCATCAACAATCCCTCACTGAACACTTTTCTGGTTCCTGGTTTAGAGAACACTAATGTATGATGATCCGGAATTATATCTAAGTCATTCAATGTCAGCATATCCTAGTCAATAATAAAAGATTCATTGTATTTATCATTCAGAAATTCCTTCCCAAGAACCATGATCCATATATTACAAGCCCCAGTTCATATCACTGTTCAGTTCTAAAAGCCTCACAAAGCATTACTTCTCAACCTACATTAAGGCAGAGACCATTCATTATCAAGCTTTAACACATGTACCCAGAAAACTCATGTCTGGGAGAATGTGAGTCTTTCCACGTTTGGCCAAATGGGATCTTCATCTCTAAGTCATCCAACTACAGTCCTGACATGGGAAGCTCAAATCATTCCTTTACAGGACTTAATTTCTTCCTTCTTCCTTCATATAAATTGGGTACATGGGAGATAATTAATAATCTGATCAGTGAATACAGAAACACTGCTTAGAGGAGACTGGGCCACATAAGGACTCCGGGTTGTTCGAAACCATCGTTCACTGGTACAGGAGGAACTTGAAGCTGATAATCCCATGGGGTTCTCTTGGGTAGGAATCTTCAGAGCAATTAACGAAAACATTTCACTGACATTATTTCAATGAGAAGGAAACACCAACTTACGTATGCCATGGTTGTACACCTGCAAAAACTGATCAGTCCTCCTTGGGATTCCTCTACTGGAGAAGAACAAAGAGAATCCAGAACTGGGAAAGGAAGAGAGACAGTGAGAGCCTGCATGATTTAGTGTTACCATGAAACAAATTAAGCATTTTGTTCCTCCATTCCATTTTACATAATACCTCCTACTGTACGAACACACAATTCCAAAAGACTAGAAGGATTTTAGATAAGTCCAAACTTTTCCCCCAAACCCCAGGAAACACAAACTCTTCAGCAGACAGTTTTCTGGCCGGTCCTCCATTTTGAGGAAGCTGCTCTGCACCTTTGATTAGCCTGCTCAGTCCTGCCCTGAACAGGTCCTCCTCCCTCCATTCCCACCCTCCAGGACTGAAAAGGAGCCACGCCATCCAAACCCCACCTTGCTTCATAGAAATGTGGTATATGCACACAAGGGAATACTATGAGGCCATAAAAGTGAAGGTTATTTTGCTACAAGCTATGACGTGGATGAACCTGAAGACATTATGCTAAGTGAAATAAGCTAGTCACAAAAGGACAAATATTGTACGATTCCTTTTACATGAGGTTCTTGGAGTAGTCAAATTCAGAGAGACAAAAGTGGATGCCAGTGAATGGGGAGTTAGTATTTAACGGGCACAGAGCTCCAGTTGGGGAAGATGAAAAAGTTCTGGAGATGGATGGCCATGATGTTTGCACAACAATGTGAATGTACTTAATCCAACGGAACTGTACACTTAAAAATGGTTAAAATGTCAAGTTCTATGATATACATATAGTTTACCACACTAAAAAAAAGGATGAAGTACTCACACATTTTACAACGTGGATGAAACTTGAAAACATCATACTAAGTGAAAGAAGCCAGACACACATATTGCATGATTCCATGTGTATGGAATTTTGAGAATGAGCAAATCCATAGAGGCAGAAGGTCGATTAGTGGTTTCATGAGTATAGGAGAAGAAGAGAATAGGAAGCGACAGTTAAGGAGTATAGGGTTTCTTTTTAAGGTGATGAAATGTTTTGGAATTAGATAGTGGTGCCAATTGTACTACCTTGTGACTATATTAAAAACCACGGAGTTGTACACTTTAAAAAGTCAATTTTATGTTGGTGAATTATATCTCAATAAAAATGTACAACATAAATTCTTTACCATCACAGTGCTTTCATAGGTCAGCATAATTTGATCATAACCTGATAGTGGTGGCGACAGTCAGAATGACATCGCTCCCTAAAAGATCCCAAGTCACATTACTTGGCCTTTGATGCATTTATTCCTATTCAGGACTTACTTATTAGGAGCCTAAAAGTAGCAAGTATGTTGGCCAGCCCCAGTGGCCTAGCGGTTAAGTTTGGCGCACTTCACTTCTGCAGCCTGCACCCAGTTTCCCGGCACGGACCTTATACCGCTTTGTTAGTGGCCATGTTATGCTGGTGGCCCACATACTGAAAAACAGAGGAAGATTGCCATGGATGTTAGCTCAGGGCGAATTCTCCCTAGCCAAAAAAAAAGGTAGCAATTGTGTCATTTGAGTCTTTTTATCACCCCAAATACTAAGACTGTATGGTCTGGCATATAAGCCCTTACTAAAAGTCTAGTTGTTTGACCCTAAATTCTACTCCTAGGAATTTGTATTAGTTAAATATCTATAGAAATACAAAAAAAAAAAATGCATGTACAGGATGTTCAAAACAATTTTTGATAACCACAAATTAGAAACATAAAAATCTAACAGTAGGTAACAGGTTAACTAATTTGGTTCTGCTATGACAGCATGTACACCATTATTGATCAGGATGATACTGGTCCAGGCTTTAAATAAGTATACATAATGTGGGAATGGTACCCTGCTGAAATTTGAGATACAGAGTCTGTTATCAGGTATTTTAAATGTGAAACTGTGTCTGTAGAGTTCATGACATCTTAGTGCCTTGGTTTTCCATCAGTAAAATTAAGACTATAAAGAATACCTCCTGGGGCCGGCCCCGTGGCCCAGTGGTTAAGTTCGTGCGCTCTGCTTCAGTGGCCCAGGGTTTCACCAATTCGAATCCTGGGTGCGGACATGGCACCACTCATCAAGCCATGCTGAGGCAGTGTCCCACATGCCACAACCAGAAGGACCCACAACTAAAAATGTACACAACTATGTACCGGGGGGCTTTGGGAGAAAAAGGAAAGAAAACAAAAACAACGGGGCTGGCCCTGTGGCCGAGTGGTTAAGTTCATGCGCTCTGCTGCAGGCGACCCAGTGTTTCATTAGTTCGAATCCTGGGAGCAGACATGGCACTGCTCATCAAACCACGCTGAGGCAGCGTCCCATATGCCACAACTAGAAGGATCCACAACCAAGAATATACAACTATGTACCGGGGGGCTTTGGGGAGAAAAAGGAAAAAAAATAAAATCTTTAAAAAAAAACAAAAAACAAAAACACCTCCTAAGTATGAATATCTTGGAGAAAGATAATCTATATAGAAATTTAATAGTATGTTGTAATACTGTATTAATATGCTAGCATTGTTATAGAACATTTCATGTTCCTAAATTGATTATTGTCCCCTAATTTCCTTTATAAGAAACAATTCTGCTATCTCCTTTTTAGAGTAAAATTGTGTTTCTCAGCCCTGCTCTTATAACATTCAGCAAAAAAAAAAATTGAGGACTTCAGTTTGAGAATGCGTTTATTAATAAGACATTAAGACTTAGAGGAAAGAGGAGGAGGAAACTTCCCTTCTCCCAACAGCAGCAGCAAAAAAGAAAGACACTTTTTCTAATCATAACTTGCTCAAAGAATCTGATCTGATCAAGTGTCTCATAAAGCGAGAACATTAAAAAGTTCAATACCCTTAATCTGTGAAAGAAAGAAATGTGAATAAATACAATTATTCTTTTTTTTTCTTTTATTGCAATCCATGCTTGGACATGTTATTTGGAAGACACCTAAAAATCAGCATTATTGCAAAGTTTTATAAAACTAACCTTAAATCTCTTTAAAAATCTAATTCTGCAAGATTGTCTTATTTGATATTTGCTACCCTGGTAATTGATTTTTAATAGTACTTCTATCATCTTTAGGTGTAAATATCTGGAAGGTTTTTCAAACGAACTTGTCACTTTCCTCTTCTCCTCACGTGCACAAACATATAACGAAATGCATGGGTTCCTTTTGCAAACTCAGAGCTATTCCTGTTTCTTTATGGTTTGACTCTCATATTCAACTAATGTGATCCTACTTGTCAAAAATAAAACAACACATATACTCAATGGAAATCAATGAAAAAATATTAATAGCGTATCTGTGGCTGGCGGGAATAAGAATATTTTATATTTCTTTATCATAAGTTCCTTAGGATACTGCATTTTTTTGCAACAAGCCTTCATGAATGCCATTACCAGAATATACGTTTCAAAATATTTCAAAAGACATTTCAACATATGACAAACATATTTGAAAATATTATAGAGAAAAAATATTATAGAACAGGTGTTTATTCTTGTATTTATGAAGCCTGAACCCTATGCATAAAATGGGAAAACACTACAAGGGAAACAAATTGCACCCACAGCCCTTGAATATCCTTTAGTTACAGCACCCCAATCAATATAAACACTTGCATTGCCAAGATTCTATTGCGAACACAATACAGGTGTGTGGCACTTACAGATTGCATCAGAGAATGTATGAAAGGTAGAAGAGTGTTTGGTACACAACAGATGCTCAATAAATGTAGCCACATCACTACCCTTCTTCAATAAACAATTAAAATATTATTTTAGATGCAATCCTTGCAAAACTTCTCACAACATGACCTTCTTAGGTGGGATTCATATATAATTTAAATTTTTCTGGGTATTACTGTTGATAAATATGAATATTGCTGAACAGTACATACTGCACATTTTCCTTCTCAGGTCTAACCCGGTATAAAGATAATCTTATTAGCTGCATAATATTCAACCATACGGATTAATCATTTACTTAAACATTTCCATAATCCTGAACACTAATTTTTCATATCACAAACAGGAAAATTGCTGTCCTTGATTTTAGACGAAAGGATCTAAATCTTTTTGGGTTCTGTTTACAATGAAAGAATACACAGGAGGATATGAATTATATGCCCAATGAATATGAGAATGTTTACGAGATTCACCCCAATGGCACCCAACATCCACTGGAAAGAAAGCAGATCACCGTTAGGGCGTTTCAGAGGAAGGAAAGCATGCCCTAAACCCAATTAATTGTATGAAACCAAAAACCAACTACCCCAAACACTGATTTTTGGATGTAAACCAAGTCTTTCCCTTCATGAGGGTCCTTCCTTTGGGGAATAGCAGGACGGGGTGGGGAGTCACAGAACGCCAGGCTTTTCTTGGAGCACAGAATGAGTTCGTTATACAACATTCTCCAGGTCTACACCCGCCCTGCTCACACACATCATCAAGTGGAAAACAGGACAGAGCCTGGACTATGTATATGCGTTTACAGCAAGTTCCTGGGGTCAGAGCGTTGGGAACGCCGAGGTTCTGAGACATGTAGCTGCCCCTCAAAGTTCCCCCAAAGAGAACTTCCCAGGCGTTCCCAGCCTCCGACTTCCACCCTGCGGTCGTTTCTCGGCGGCATCTGCGAGTAGCTGTGAGAAGACGGAGGAATCCGCAGGAAACCTGGAGCCACAGCAATCGCCGCCCAGGTAAGCGACATGCAACCAAGTCCCCGTCAACCCAGCACAGCCACGCACCTGTCACAGCCTCACAACCGCCGCACCGGCACGCAGTCTCTCTCCCGCATACACACACTCCCACACACCCCCGTCCGTCCCCGCGGACACACATCCCGCTGCTCTGCCCTTCAGGCCCGAATTCCCTGAGCGAGTGGCCGTCCATACTACGGGCTTCCCCGACCTGGGGCTGCCTCCACCACCCCTGTCGGTTCAGGTCGGGCTCCGGGTCAACTGGGTCGCCCAGACTCCAGCCTGCGAGCATCCCGCGCCTAACACATCCCAAAACGAGTTCAACTCACCTTGCAAAGCGCGAGAACCGCGCGAAAACGGAAGGGAAGCCGAAGATCCGGTGGGAGCGCTGCCCTCTGGGAAATGTAGTTCGAGCCTGACCCTCCGCGGGCGCCTCGGGTGTCAGAAAAGCAGCCCGGCGCCCCGACGTCTAGACCGCAAGCCGCCGCGAGAACCGCCCAGGGCAGGCACCCCGGGGTTCCGGTCGCTCCATCGGGAGGGCGGCACGCCAGGGCTGGGAGCCCCGGCGGGGACCTGAGCCGAGGGGCCGTGCGCGTGTCCTGGGGGCCAGAGGAGGCCACGCGGCCCAGCAGGCTGAGCCGGGCGATGCGACCCCGCGGCCCGAGCCCCTGGCCTCGCGGGCAGAGCGCGCGCGGGACTCCGGCTCGTGTCCCCGCGGTGACTGCAGCCTAGTGACTTTGATACCTCCAGGAATGGGCTCGTTTATTCAATAAATCGCGTTAACTACATTTAACAACGGTGTGTAGGAGTGAAGTAATATTAACTTAATATTTCGCATTACGATATATTCAACATGGGCTGTGTCATTAAATGTAAGGGTGATCTAGCGAAAATCTTGTTTATGGTTCGTAATACTGATTTAGGGATAGATTTTCCCAAGCATAACCAAAGAGAGAAATGTTATAAAATATTAAGGTTTGACTGGATAATTATTTGTAATCATCCTAATCACCTGATTGGCAATTAATTAATAAAAGTAAACCGTAGACAAAAATTCGATACTTATTTTTATTAACATATATAATGAGTACGCAGTTAATAATCTTAATTCAAATTTTTCTCAATAAGATAATAGTAATCTAAGTGGAAAAGGGACAATGATCATAAATTTCCTGTTTACAACTCTAGAAATGTAAATTACCAGCATATATATCAGTGTCACAGTCACTTGACCTTTTAGGAATTCATCATACTCTCCGTAATGAGCAACCTATAAAATGTTGGTCACACTCCTTTTTTCTCCTTAATACTCCTGAATCTACAGGTGCTTTTTAATACTTCCCTTTTTTTCATAATTACTTTCTGTAGAGTCATTTTCCTCACTTAAGACATCAAGTATATTTTCTTTACACTTTTTTATAGGTCACCCCAGTCTCTTCGTTAGCATCATTGAAGAATTCCATGCATATGATGATAATATAATAAATTATCAATGAGGTTTCTCTTCAGCTCTGTACATTATTCAAGCTAAATCCTGCATTTAGTAATAAGCCGTGAGATCCATGATGTTTTGGTGAGGTTAAACAGAAAGAAGGAAACAAAGTTTGAATCTTCTCTTTCAGTATTCAAATATAAGATATGGGGAAGCCAGCAAATAATTTGAAAGGACCAGACCCATGATTGGGCATAGTGAGGATTTTGTGTTCCCTGAAGACTAGTTGATGTTGCTTTATCATGTGGAGGAAAGAACATATCGTAAAAGGAAGCAAGAGGATTAGAGTCTGTATGGTCCTTGAGAAGTGGCTCTGTGCCCCGACCATACCACCGGGCTGTGTGCTTGAAATACCAAGTAAAATGAAAATATCTATGCCCCACAAACTTTCATGTAGGATGATGTAGGAATCTAGAGCCCCTTTTTGTACCCCTGCCACACTTAAACATCTTGACATGGGACAGAATTACAGAGAAGGAAAGGCTAGGGGAATTAACACTATGATCACCACCACACACACATCCCAGGAGGCTCAGATGAAATATTTGATAATATTAACTGTCAACAAGAGTGTGAAGTTATGGGAATTATACATTGTGGGACTGTCAATGACTTGGGAAAATGGCAGTATCTGGTAAAGTTGAAGATATTAAACGTACCCTGCCTTCTAACATTTCCACTCCTTGGTTTATACACTACATAAATGCATGTTAACTATGACCTGCATACACACACAAGAATGTCACAGCATGATGTTTTTTTGTAATTACCAAAAATGGAAACAACTCAAATGTCTACCAACAATAAAAGAGATAAACAAATAGTATATTAATAGAAGGGGATAATT